CCTGGAGGAAAGGGTTGGCTTTTGAGGGGATTAATTAAGGGTAGATGGAAACAGGGTTTGGTATCTTTGGCCCTCTTGAGGGATCTTCTTGAGAACATTCAATTTCTCCGGTTCTAATGTAAGAAAGGTTACTACTAGGAATCTGTTGTTGCCTCCCATGACCTGAGTGGTGTGAGAGAATGTCTGTACACTGGTAGTGGTGGAGCTGGAGAACTCCATGGATACATGTTCCTTCACCATCTGCTGCCGGTAGATTGTTGTCGTCATGGTAACAAGGAGTATAGCCCTGTGGGAACAAGGGGGGATGGTTAGATTTGGAGATGGAGAGATAAGAAGGGAACCCAAATGGAAAAATAAAAGAGCATAATTGAAAAAGTGGGGTGAGGGTATGGAAATATGGAGAAAATGGGTAGGGGAGGCATGATAGGGGAATGGATATGTGGCAGTCAGTTGCTTGTGTTAAGAACCAGTGGTCAGGGGCAGCTAGGTGGCGCAGTGGATAGAGCACCGGCCCTGAAGTCAGGAGGACCTGAGTTCAAATCTGGCCTCAGACACATAACACCTAACAATTACTAGCTGTGACCATGGCAAGTCGCTTAACCCACTGCCTAGCAAAAAAAAAAAAAAGATTGAAAGGGAAGAACCAGTGGCCAGATCAGGAAAGCCAGGGCTGGTCCTACCCTAGTTCTTTTTTTCTGATGCAGGACCTCCCCCCTTGCTCAGAGTAAGACTTGGCAGGAGCTCTGAGCTGCCCAATTATAGCATTTTAGTGGGGATACAAATCTTGCCAGAGAGAAGATGCAGGAGAGGCTGGGGGCAGTTGGCTGTTTCTCTTCTTCTCTTTGGAGATAGGAGAGGGTTAGAGAAGCCCTGGGGAAATGGGCATGGCCTGGCCCAGTTGCCAAGGAGAAGGATGGGAAACAGGCAAATGGAAATGGGGTGCAGGTGTCTTTCCTTGGCCCAAATGACTTAGTGGAAGATGGCAACCTATGGGAGGCACATTGGGCTTTGGCAAAAGGAAGAGAAAATCATTTGTCCTATTGGACAGGAGTGCGGATAGGAACTTTTGGTTGAACAGAGCAAAAAGAGAGGTTCCCACAGTTCTATGAAGAAACCCCAGAGAGGGGTCTCTGTCAAAGATCCCAAAGCACTAAATAGCTCACAGTCATTCTGATCCCAGAGTTGAAAATGTTCAACTAGCCCAGAGACATTTGGCTTCTGACTTTTTCCTTCAGAAAGATCTGAAACTGGGATTAAATTGGAAGTGTAATCCTACTTGGACCCCAGGTGGCTGAGGGAACCCTAGCTCTGCTCATCTTGTTTACTCCCAAATCCCCACTCCCCACTAAGGGAAAGACTAAAAAGGAAACTGACCCCACTCATTTCCATGCCCAGTCATGTGTTCCTTGCTGGGTCAGCATCTCCTCTACATTCTTTGGGGATTGGAAAAAGTACAGAGCCTCCTCTTCTTGCACATGTACTAGACCATGATATTACCCAAGGGCTTCTCTTAGCCTCTTACAATTTCTCAGAAGGGAGGACCACAGATGCCAGCTGACTCTACTCCCCGCCCTTCCCCCCTCTCCAACATCTATGACTCAGGGGTGAGGGCAACTCTGCTGAATCAGCAAGATTTTCATTCCCAGGAAGTCTGAAGAGTCTCTATGTAGTTTTAGAACTGTAAGAGACCCTTAGAATCCAACCATGAGGAAACTTGACGCCCAAAGAGTTTAGCTGATTTGCCCAAGGTCATATAGGTAGTAAGTGAAAGAGTTGGGATTTGAACTCAGATACTGTGGGGTAGAAGTGTGCAGTGAGGCAGGGCTCTTTAACAAGTTATGGCCCTTGGGGTGTAGCTGTTGAGGGACAGAGAGGGGGAGATGGCTTGGCATCAAAGTAGTAGAAAAGAAAGATAGACCTGAGAAGGACCTTCTTGTGACTCAAACTGGATCAGGGGATGAAGAGAGGCTGTGGCAGACTTCTTTCCTGCCCTCAAGAGCCTTAATTTTAAGAATAATAAAAACAATTCAAGTGAATGCTGGGCTTAAAAGTTTACAAAGCACTGTAATATACACAGTCTCCTTGGAGTCTTATTAACAGCCTTGTGAAGCAGGGATTCTGAGGTCTACTTTACAGAACAGGAAGATAAGGCTCAGACAGATGACTTGCCTTCTGCTCCAGTAGCTTTATCCTGAGTCTTGCCCTGTAGTTCACAGGCTTAGGCCATGACCCTAGGTTCTAGGTATCTCTATCTCTCCCTTTCCCATTCCTACGACTTGCCCAAGGTCACACAGTCAATGGCGGCACCATCTCTAGAACCCAGGTCTCCTGACTCCCAGGATAGGGCTTTTTCAAAGGGTGACCAAGACCTTGTGAGCAATGAAGCTGGCTCACCATGTATGATATGAAGGTTGTTGCTGAAGCCTGCCAATCCTAGGATACTACTCTAACATACCTTAAAACTGCCTACCTTTCCTACCTATTTTCATATTACCTATGCCCAGGTCGGCAGTTAAGCCCCAACTCTCCTCTCAAACCCCCTCCCCATCTTTTGACTCTCCCCTCTTATCTTTGTTCCTCTCCTCCCCCCTCCACTTCTCCCCTCCCTTGCCCTCCCTAAGGATGGTGGTGATGGGTGGATCAGCCTCATACCAGTGGAAATATAAACTCCAGCTTCTCAGACGTTTTACCTTCTGAGCTGTTTCCTGGTGGCTTTGGATTCTGATTTGTACCTGGAGGTTCCACACTCAGGCTCTCTGTATCTTCAGCTCCCAGCCTCACACCTCACACTTCCCTGCCGTGGGTGCCTCCTCACTCAGCTCTGGACAGACAGGGAGTGGAGTCAGCAGCACTTTAAATATTCCTTCCCATGGGACCCAGTCCTTGCCAAAGCCAGCAGCTGAAGGTGGGCCGGGAATGACCCCTTCCCCAAATGGACGGCAGGGACATCTTTGGAGGTTGGCATCCACACTGCTTATCGGACAACTTCCCAGAAGCAATTGGAGTCTGTGAGGATCTGTGATTTTGCCTTTCTTACAATAACAATGATAACAATCCTATTTATTTAGCACTTTAATGTTTACAAAGTCTTTTTCCCGCAACAGCTTGGTGGGGTAGGTAGTAGCAGTATTATTGGGCTTATTTTACAGATGAGGAAATCAAGGCTTGGTGAGGTCAAGTCACCAAATCTCAACTTTGGAAGAGACCTCACAGGTCTAACCTATAGCTGAGAAAGAATCCTCTCCAATACACCGTACAAGAGGCCTTCTCATCTCTGCTTGTAGATATGTGGTAAGGCAGAACCCATTCCTTCCCACAACAGACCATTCCAATTTTTTTTTTTTAGATAGCTCTAATTGCTAGGAAGTGTTTTCTTACCTCAAGCAGAGAACTGCTTGTTCTGCCCTCGGAGGCCAAGGAGAACAATTCTTTCTTCCACAAGACAGACTTCAGTACTTATTCAATCAGCCTCATAATACCTAGAGCTAGTAAACGTCTGAATCACAGAGCTAGTAAATGTCTGAATCATCATTTTAATACAGGTCTACTGACTGTATTAATCCAGTGCTTTTTACTGGAAAGCAGGCTGATTGTCCTGAGGGACTCTCTTTCAGATAGGATGGGAGGCCAGGTGAGGTAGGGAGGGGTAGGAGGTAATGAAGATCCTGGCAGGGACTGAGAACAGAACGATAGAACAGATCAGAATAATAGAGGGAATCTTCTCATTCCTTTCCTCAGCTACCCACTTCTATCCATTTCTAAAAAGGATTAGGGCCCCAGGTCTGTTTCTGACACGGGAAGAGAATGGGGACCTCAAATTAGTTCAGGGAGCAAAAGGCAAACATGAGATATTAAAGGTGTTATTCAGATGAGGGCAATTTATCTCAAGGCATCCCGCCAACTCTGCAGGAGAGTTACTTCCTCCTCCAAGGGTGGCACCCTTTCTGGGGTTTATCATTAGGAATGATCTGTATTCAGAACAACTGGAAAATGAATTACTGGGCTTTGCCCTCCCCCTCCCCAACCATGAGTCAAAGTATGTTTGGGTGTCAATAGATGTCCCCATTTTGACCTCCTTGGAAGATTCATGATGCAGGCCAAAACTGTGTCCCAGGGAAAAGTTGGCCAAAGTGTGTGATTCATCCCCTCCCTCCCCCATCTTCAGTGGGTCTAGCTCTAGTCATGGGTTAAAGTTCCCCACCACCCCATCCCACTCTGTTCCAGTTCTGTAATTCCTATCTCTCACCCCTTATCCTAGTGAGTAGGGCCCACCCTTCTGGGCAACTCTGACCTCAGTCATCAGAGCTACATTTGCTCTGTCCTTTGGGGAAGGCTATGGCTAGAATAGTTCTCTGAGCTGGGATCTAAGCCTGGTGGATTCCCCCAGGCCCTGGGAGGTGACACTGACATTTCCATCAGGGCCTTAAAAGGGAAAAAACCTGAGGCTGCAGCTGCTTTGAGGCCCTAGGGGAGGACATGGGATAGGGGTGGAGAGAGCCAAGAAGATGCCTGCAAAGGTTTGGGAAAGGATCCAGAAGAAGGAGGAAGAGCCCTGCAGGGACTTAGGGAGAGTAGGGGGTCATGCCACTGAAGATAATTTGACATTTATGTAGCAACTTTGGTCTTCTAAGCCTTTGATGCTTCATTTCATCTGGACCCTTTGAGTTCAAAGCCAGGCTTTTGGAGCAACAGAAACCATCCACCCTGGTTCCCTCTCTACACAATGCCACTTCTTTCCTAATCTGTGTACAAATGAGTTCCGAAAGCCAGTAAGTGGGAGTAGGTGGAAGTTGTTCTGAGTTACAGGGGTCTCTCCTTTGGAGTAACTTTTCTTTTCTGGATTCCCTGGCCTTTGCAGGAGTAGGTATCTGGTAAAGAATGCTTTGTGGGAATTCATCTTGGGACACTAGAGAGTGGAGTATGAAAATTTCCTTAATTGAATGATACAAGCCAACGAATGGCCATAACGTCCACCAGTCCCAGGGTGAAGGGAGGAAAGAGGTGGCCAAGAGGCCTGACCAGGCAATGAATATGTGATAGTTGTTGGGTGGGGGAATCCAGAAAGAAGGTCCAGAGAGAAGTGGTCCAGGGTTGGGCAGAGGCTGTGAAATGTGCGTATGTGTGGGTAAGTCACACAGAGCAAGGCCGAGTTTGCTCAAAATGCGGTGTTTATTGCTCTATTCAGTGACCACGAGCAGAGTTATAAAAAGACGCCTCTGTCTGCCATAGATTAAATACTGAAAGTCAGCTATAAAACCACGTGGCTCCAGGATAACACATATTGCCAAAATCATGCACACCCCGCCGATGCGTTCTCTACACACTCACGGACATGGGACATACCCATGGATACACGATTTGGGAAGAACTTCCCCACAGTGACACAGAAAAATACTCTGCACAGAACTGGGGCCAGCCCTTACGCCTCCCCTCCCCGCAAGCCCTCCCCACTGGCTAGGCCCGGGGGCATCAGTTCTTCTCTGGGGGAGTCCTTGTGGCCAAAAGCACTGCCCCTCCCTCCCATTCTTCTCTCTCCTCTAGGAGATGGGACTGCCTCGTGGGAAGCGCCCCTTCTCTGGGTGCTGGGGAGTAAATTAAAATTTGTGATTGTTGTTCCGCAGAGGCAGCCTTGGGGTAGGGAAGCTGTAGGAGGCGGGTGAATAGGGAGTGACCTATTACTGGGGAAAGGGGAACCTAAGGTTGGGAATGGGATGGGGGAAGGGAACGTTTAAGACTAATGTAGAGGTGTTGTTTACACCGGGATTGGGGAAAAGGAAAGCCTTAGGTTGGGGGTGGGGAAAGGGAGGAGTGGGCTGGGCAGCACAAGGCTGGGATGGGCGAAGTGTAAGGCTGGGGTTGGGGATTGGTGGGGACAGCCAGCCTAGAATTAGGGGAGGGGAGGAGGGGGTAACCTGTGGTTGGAGGGGAAGCCTAAGGCAGGGAGGGGGCCGCCTAAGGCTGTGGGTAGGAGGAGCAGGCAGAAGATCTGATCAGGGGACAGAATCTGGCCCCCTCCCTTCTCTCCCAGACTCTTTAGGCCCCCCTGAGTTCACTCCTTACCTGGCTCCCATCTGTAAGCCGGGTTCCAAGCTCCCCCTCCCTCCCCGGAATGAGCTGCTCCCCAGAGTGGGCTCCTAGCCCAGGCAGAGGAGACACAGTGTCCGGTTAAAACATCAGAAACAGATGGACAGACAGTGGGATACACGGAGCCCAGCACATACAGTATTTGGATCAAGTTAAAAAATGGGACTGGGATAAGCCGGGTAAGCCAGAGCTGGGGCAGGGCTCAGCAGGGGGTGGGGAGTGGGGGCTGGGCCAGCCGCCTGATTGCGTCTGCCCCCAGGACCCCCTCTTCTGGTATTTACAGTAGAGAGAGCTGCAGTTGGAGGGGGTTCTCACGGCTGGTGCAGACAGAGCAGATGAAGCAAAGAACAAAACAAAGCTGAAGGAGGAGCTTAGGATGCTCCTGGGCCCTGGCTGGACTCTACCCAGGCGAGGCAGGTCTCAGGCCAGGGCTGTGCTATCCAGCCCCTAGGAGTGGTCACTCCTTGGCTTGGGAAGAAAGCTGCTTCTCATACAGGCTCATGACGTGGTGCACAAACTGGTACTGCTCACAGGTCTGGATCATCCCGCCCCTGGCAGAGCAGAAGAGGGCAAGGAGGGAGAGTCAAAGGGATAGGGGGCATGGAGGCAAGGAGTGGAATTGGTGGCTCCCCTAGGAGGTGATGGTTACTGAGACCAGACCCACATCAGCACCTGGGCTCTAGCCATGTTCAGGGCCTGGAGAGTATTAGCAGTGGATGAGGCATTGAAAGAGGGGGCCTTTAACTGTCCAGGGGGATAAAAGGGGGCACCATCTTTCTGTCTCCACTTAAGGAAGCTAGTCTTTTCTCCATTTAGCCTGCATTGCAGGCACCAGTGGCAGGACCCGGAAGGCATGACCAGAAGAAAGGAGACTTCCTTGGGTTCCAAGACCTCCACAATCCCCACCTATTCCCCAGGCAGTCAGAACTATCGGCCCTTCCTTTCTATAGGAAGGTCTTTGGAGGGGCAGCTAGGTGGCACAGTGGATAGAGTACCAGCCCTGGAGTCAGAGGACCTTAGTTCAAATTCAACCTCAGACCAAACACTTGACACTTACTAGCTGTGTGACCCTGGGCAAATCACTTAACCCCAACTGCCCTTTAAAAAAAAAAAAAGGAAGCTCTTTGGAGATAGTTTGTTATTGTCTTTCTCTGCCCAGCACCTAGAGTACTGCTCCATGACTGACTGAGTGATTGGGAGTTGATTTTCATTATCCCTGAGACTCCCTCTCTCCACCTCCCCCTCTCACCTTAGGCCTGGCCTCAGTAATAGCAGGCTAGGTCAGACCCGCCCACAGTGCTGACCTGTCTTGCCGGAGCTGACAGGTTGTCTTCAGGATGTCCACCACACCCTCTCTTTGCAGCTGCTTGCAGCAGATGCTGGTGGCGATGAAGCAACCAGTCCTCCCGATCCCAGCACTGGGGGCAGAGAAAGGCTTCTGAGGGAGAGTCAGAGCACCGAATGGGCGAAGGGGAGGTGCCTGAAGGTCCGGCTGGGGAGGAGGGGGCGGGGAAAGCCCACCGCCTGAGGCACTTACCTGCAGTGGACAATGATTGGAGCAGAGCTCTGCCCCTCCCAGCCAGCTGCTTCCTCCACGTCCAGGACCAGCTGCAACAACGGTGGTGCCCGATCTGGGGTCTTCTGGTCTGGCCACGAAGTGAACCAGTAATGCTTTAGGCCACGCTCCTCAGTCCCACTCTGCAACAGGATCAGGTACCCGGGAGTGAGACCCCCTGACTTGATTTTAGTCCATCCGTTTACCTACGCCCCCAACATGAAGAATAGTGGGAAGTCCTTCTCTGAACCTTCTCCCATTCTCTCTCTTTCCCCTCTCCAAGGCTGTACATAACCAACGCTGTCTGTCCTCTCCCGGTAGGGCCAGACTGTTAATTGGCAGACAGCTCAGTCTTCCAGCTCAGCCAGACTCTCTCTGGGCACTGTGTCCTATTGTGCTAACTTAATGGTTAGGGAGCTACTCTGTAGGTTCAGGGAGTGGTGTCCTAGGCAAAGGTTGTATAAGCCCCTGTCAGCACCCCCCTAACCTGTGCCTCACTCCTGCCTGCCTTGGACCCCATGGAAGCCCCAAAAGAGTTCAGAGTTAGGGGCAGTGGGGAGAGGTCCCAGACTGATCTCTTTTCCTTGGACTTTGTAGATTCTGATGTTGATGGCTATCTCCTGCTATTTCTGGACAGAGTGAAACCCACCCCAACTGGAAGTTGAAAGGGACCTTGTTGATCATCTTGTCCAGTGATATAAAACTCAAATAGAAATGGGGGTCACTAATTCATACCTAAGGATGCCTGCGGGCCACATATTAACTTCGTTTTAAAATGTAACGTTATCTATGCTGTATTGCATTTTTATTTATTTTATTAAATATTTTCCAATTGAATTTTAATCTGGCTTGGCCACACCAGGGAGGGTTTGTCACTTCTGATCTGGATCAGCCACCTAGTTTTACAGAAAAGGAAGCCAAGGCTTAGGGATATTAAATAAATTGCTAAAAGGCACACAGGTAGTGATTGAGAGCCGGGATTTGAATCTAAATCCCAGGATCTTTCTACTACATCACAATAACTTCCCTTTGATTCTGCCCGTCCAATCTCCACCAGGTTGAGAGGAACCTGCCTTCATCACACAACCTTTTCTTTGTTTTCAAAAAATGGAAGATAATTCCCGATTCCCTTTTGTGGGAAGAGAGCTAGAAGGGGGAGGATTTGGAAGAGCAAGATCACTGATGTGCCCCTCCCCCTCTAGCTTTCTTTGGGGCCATCTTATTTAAAGATTCATGGATACAGGTTACTGGAGTCTCCCCATTTGGGCTGCCTTTCCCTTTGGATTCCAAATACTCCGTGTATGGAATGAAAGAGAGGCCACAATACAAGGGCAGCAGGAAGAGACTAGAAGTTGGGAGTTACTGCCAGTAACTCACTTTATGACCATGGGCAAGTCCTGTCACTTCTTCTGGGCTCTTTGTTTCCTCAGCTGTAAGATGAAGATACTAACCTTTTGCCTTATCTAACTCAAGGTATGTTTGTTGTGTTCATCAGCTAAGATAATGGGCTTTACGAGTTTAGAAGGCATTGTACACAGGGGAGAGGTGAATTACAACACACAAGTGAGGCTGACCTGTCAGATGTGATATGAACTGGGACTTCTGCCATGGGGGAAGGGAGTGAAAAGCAGCGTCCCTACTTGGCACACTATCTGGGATCCTCTTCCCTAGAGCTCCTGGATAGGCCTGGCAGGCCCATACAGGTGGTCTTCCCCGGCTCCCCTCCCCCAAACCCACTTTTCTGAAGGAATGGCTCCTGGGGCTCCATTCTAATCCACTGTGGGAGTGGGTTAGACAGACGCTGCCTATTCTCTGCTCCCTCAGGTTGGGCAGTCTTTTCTTGGTCACCACCAACTCTGCCCCCCTGTACCCCCCAGCCCAAGGTCTCACCCTCAGGGTAATAAGACGAAGCCGGTAGTCATCAGCCTGAATGACCTGCTTGACGATGATCTCGACCCCGTCATACACAACCTGCTCCTCTGGCCAGTACTCTGTGCATTTCTGGAGGATACAAGGTATGTTTGGTGGAACAGCTCTCCGGCGATGCCCACCCTAGCCCAACCTCATTCCTCCCACCTCCTCCACCCCTTCACAAAGATACTGTTGCTTCTACCTCATTCATTTCTTCAATGTTGGTGATCATCACAATAATGGGGGCGTGCTCCTGCCACACCATCCTCCAGAAGTCACTCACGGTGTTGACGATGGGTCCCTGAGTGGCGATGTACACCTTCTCCTCCCCTCCATAGCCCTAACAGCCACAGGTAGCGGAGGGAGGCTTGTATCATCATCACATAGGCCCTCTTTCTATAGTTATCCTTCACTGACTGACACAGCCCAGGCAAGAGAGAGCAGTAATTAAAAAAGGCTAACAAAATGTTGCCTAATACAAGTCCTTAAGAGACCTACTTCAATCTTAAAGAAGAATGTTTTTGTAATTAGCATTTGAATAATTTTTTTGGATAGATGCCTTGAAATTGAAATTTCCTCAGAAATCTTGTTAATGTTTTCTAGTCATTTAGTGAATTCTTTTCTATAAATAGCAAAAAAGAAAGGCAAAAATTCCAGAAATGTTGTTCAGTGGTTTCAGTTGGGTCTAACTCTTTGTGGTCCCATTAGGGGTTTTCTTGGCAAAGATACTGGAGTGTATTTGCCACTTCCAGCTCATTTTCCAGATGAGGAAACTGAGGCAAACAGGGCAGGGTTAAGTGACTTGCCCAGGGTCACATAGCTAATAAATATCTGAGGCCAGATTTGAAAGTACCACCTAGCTGCCTCAGAAATGTACACTCCTGTAAATATAATTATATAGTCTGGGTGAATCAAATTCAAACAACTAAGCCTGACTGTAGTGGTGAGGTCTGCCTCTCTCCCATAGCCTCCAAGGGTTAGGAGTAGCTCCCTCCATTAGCTCTTTATCCTAATTTTGGGGATATTCCAGTTGTAGGGAACTGTAGGCCTCCTTTCTCTGCCCTGAAGTAAGGATGAGTTAATAATCTAGTCCTCCAGAGCTATTTTGATTTTCTCTTTCTTGCCACTAACTAGGGAAAGAGAACAGATCCATCCTATTAGCTCGTCTCCCCATGGATGATATACTGGTTGGGATGGAGCAGTCTGGGGCAAGGGTATCTCTGACAAAAGGCTGTAGGGGCAAGGGATACTCACTCTTATATAGTTGGCATTGATGTAGGAGTTCAAGGGGTCATCTTGGTCTGGCGAGGTAAGGCATACCCTGCTGTGGGGGTCTAGGAGAGAAAGAGGTGAAGTCATTGGCTCATCCCTCCCTGTGCTGGGCTTGCAGGCTATGACCCTAACCACTCAGGTGCCCTTTTATTTAGAACAGGGACATTTGAACCTTAGCTTTCAATGATGGGAGGACAGCCTTGCCTGCCAAAGTGGAGACAAGTGTTCCCCAAAACTCCTCTGGGATCCTGGGGGCACTGAGGGGCCAAAAGCAACTCAGAGGTGCAGGGTGGTGGGAATGGTGAACATGCATTCATTTCAAGTGATAGATGAGTCGCATTTTGAGTTTATTGATACTTCTTCCATTTTATCTTTCTATTCCAGTACTAACCTCGTCTGCTTGAAATCTCTGCTTCTGTGCTAGGATCTCACGTATACCTCAGCCTTGGATTTGGATGCTCCAGAAAAACCCCAATTCTTACTTTTGGTGGCCTTTGGCTTTTGCTTTCTTACGTCTTGATCTTATGTCTTGATCTGACTCTCAAGAGGGGACTGCACTCAGCTGGTATGATCGTCCTCTCTACCTCTACTAGGGTGAGATAACTTTATCTAGCTCCCTAAACCAACTGTCATGGTGGACAATGTTGGAAACACTGGCTGCCTGTGTAGCTTCCACTGAGGACTCCAGAAGGGGCAAGGGACCATGGGAGACTATGCCTATTCGTTCCAGACCCAAAGTCAGAAGTTGGTGGATCAGTTTTTAGCATACTTTGTGATTCCAATCCAAAAAGAATGAGCCTGAATGAAAAAGCCATCAACCTGTCTGCACTTATCCAACAATGTGTGAGTGCTGAATTTTGCTTTAAAGGCTGAAGTTACTCCCATCTAACACCAGATTTGTAACTAAGGAGGGGCAAGTGCTACTTTGCCTCAAGGTAATAATATCTTGGAAGGCGGGTGCTTTCTTTTCACTACAATCACTAATCAGTGACTTCTAGAATCTTGTGGTATAATCATCCCTGACCACCCTGCCAAGATTCTGTCCCTGTGGTGGCCATTGGAGTGTTCCCCTCCATCCCTCCAGGGAGAAAAGAATCCCCATCTTTTCTTGAAGAGATAAATCCAAGGTAGAACTCACCTTTGCACCACTGTCTCACCAAATCTTCCCTTTCCCTCCACCTCCCCAATCAGATACTCCATAGCATGACCATGTATCCCATACCTTGGACTTCTCTGTCATCTTTCTGTTCCATGTGGATAGAATTGTGTCACTGTGCCCTATCCCTTCACCACTTCTGGCTCCACCAATTTGTTCCAGGAGCAGATATAGCTAGTTACAGTTCTACCCAGAACTTGCCCGAACCACATTTGGGGAATCTCTTGGTTGATGTGAGGAACTGGTGCAAGTTGGGGGGTACTGCATAGCTTGCCCATGTTATTAAAGCATGGCATTTCACTCAGGTAGGAAGTCATTTATACTACAGACTGCCAGACTATAGGGAAGGAGGTAGGGAGGTGCTGAAAGTCCCTTTGTTCCCCAGGTCAACCAATCCCTACATCTTGTCCTATGGCTCACCCATTTTTGACCTTCACGATTAAACTGCCATAATCCCTGCAAATCTTGGGTCTTGGTAATGGCAGATTAATGAGCTTCTTAGAACTTCATGGATCTAGTCCCAGTCCACAGAAAGCAGGCATCACAGGAATAGCATAACACTCTAATGACAGCTGATATAGCCAATGGGTATCCACTTCATTCTGGATCAGTGACCCAGAAGACCAAGCCATATTGGGTGTGGGGAAACAGTACAAGGTACTAACCCTGAATATAATCTGATCTCTCTCTCTTTCTTTTACTAGTAACAGCAGGGATTGGTTGGCTGTCCTGGTAAATCTGACCATCACAGGACCTGCAGAAGGTCACCCTCTACTTTTGTACTTCTGAACATGTTGTCCAGAATAGATGCATACTGCATCTAGCCATGGCACTGAATTGGATCCTGAATAAGAGTTTTCTTCCTGGGACTGCTATGTTTAGCACAGCGAGGCCAGAGAAGTCATGCCTGTGCAGGCCACGTGATAATCTCCCTCTAGAAACCCTAAGCCTGCCCTGATCTGCTTACTGACCAGGACCAAGACTGGGGCCCTATGAAAGTTCTTGGAGAAAAACTGAAAGAGAGATTTGTCTGGCCCTTCATTTCTCTGCCCAGAGTCCTATTAGCATTTGCTTAAGAGAAATATAGTGAAAGATGACTGCTGAGACCAGAGAATCCCATTCTATATCACCATCTAAGAATGGTTCTCCATACCCTGCCCAATAGAACAGATGGCCAAGTCACCGACATTCAACAAAATGGGATTTCTGGTAAACCTACAACCTTGTCTGGATACAGGAGGATGATGAAAAAGTCTTCCAGATTCGGGTTGGTTTATATTAATACAAGGTTAAGTTGTTTGGTTTGTATAAGGCCCCCACGACATTTCAGAGATCTACAGATTTGATATTACATAACTGGACCAAGGAGTTGTGGGTTGCCTTGGTGATGTCCTCATATACTTACAGGACTTTGACCAATACACCAAACTAGTTTTAACTTATTTCAGTGTTAATGGCAGCACCAGTGAGTTGCCCAATCAGAGAAATGTTAATTTGAGGAGGAAGGTTGAATTCCTTGGGTATGTAATAGGCTGGCAAGGTGACGGTGATACTCTAGCAGGGGACCTCTGCCTCTATGAAAGACCGATACCAGTTCCTTGGCTTTATGGACCACTACTATCATTTTATCCCCCTATTTTCTATCCTGATGGCACCTCTTACCAATCTGCTAAAGTATCCCCAGGCTCTCTGAGCACGGAATATACACCTGAAGACCTGGAGGCCTACTTCACCTATCTCTACCTTGTTATTGCTGGGTCCCCAGAAACAGCACTTTATAGAGAAGGATGCGTCCAATGTTACTGTGGGGCCTGTCTCTTCATAGACAGCACTTTCTGCTTTAATTTTCTCATTCTTTCAGGCTCTTTCTGCAAGCTGCTCAATGCCGAAGAAAACCAAATACTGAGAAAGAGCTATTTATTAGATAGTAAAAGCTAAATCTGGGGCTTCGAGGGACCATCTTGAGTGCAGAGTGGTTCTCCTCATCATACACACAAACTATAAGAACCAAGGGCAACGTCACACTGCCCACACGCTCAATCAACACAAGTTCTGTTGAGCAATGCTTTTCAATAGGTCAAGGTTTGATATCATCCATATTCCCAGATGTTGCAATCTACCAGTGAATGTGCTGTTGTGAAAGCCCAAATTTGGGCACCCAATGGATCAGTCATCCTGGTAGAGGTGATAAACTTTGTCATAAAGGACTCACCTCAATTTCTTCCCCCTTTCCTATCCATACTTTGTCCAACATCATTAGTTGTGGATGAGCAGTAAGAATTCATTGTCCAAGAAATCCTAGACTTATGGAGGTGATGGCTGTCTCCAGGACTGAGGAGACTGGCTAGGGTCATCTCCTATCCAAGGAGAATACAGGACAGCTGGTGTACACTCTACATGTGCTTCTGTTAAAGGCCTTCTGTGAATGCTACCCTACCAAGCCACCGTTCCAGGTCTGAGGTGATGTTTAAGGAAGGAGGGATGGTGTTTGTTTCCAAAGCTCCTCTGACATTGTAGGGTGAGGTAGGGTCTTACATGATGAAAAAACAGAACTTCAAGGGCCCAGAATCAAACACAGTATGATAACTGACATTTATTTGGCTTATCCTCTAATGTGGGAGTGATCTTCTTGGCTTAAAATCTCTGCTCCTGTATCCAGCTACTGCTTTCATCTCAGCCCCTTAGGTTTGGTGCCTCAGAGAAACCCTGGCCTGGTCTTTGGTTTATACTTACATGGATCCCAAGTTAACTTCACTCATCTTTCCCCAGAGTAATGATGATGATAATACTGCTACTATTAATATCTTACATTTATATGACACAATATCTTATTTTGTCTGCATAATAGCTCTGTGAGGCAGATGATATCCCAATTTTATAGATAAAGAAACAGACTCAGATGGGTTAGGTGTGTTGCCCAGGGATTTGAGATGGGATTTGAACTTCTGGACTCCAAATTCAGGATTCTTGCCGCTATGCTATGCCATTTACAGCTTCAACAATTTCTTTAATCATGTTGGCCACACCCTCACCTCCCTTGCTACACCCTACGAGGGATATAACAATACAGTAGGTGTGTGCTTCTTCTATCTGATGCACTTTAGGCAATCTTGCCGACATCTAATCACTACTGCTACTCATCCCCTCTCTGCTCTGCATCCAGGGGCCTCAGATGGGGAGAAAGGCAAATACCACAGGGCCTCTAACTCTCCAATCCCCCATTCCCTAGTTTTATTCTTGTCTCTGGGTACTATTCCTGTCAGGTTTTGAGAGTCCACAGAGGACCTCAGTTCAGAGGGGGGAGGTTTAACAGTGGGGAAGGAAGCCTTCTAGCTTTGAACAACTGTCCACTTAGTTAACAGTCAGTGAACAAGTACGTATTAAATGTTGACTTTGTGCCTGGCACTGTGCTAAGTGCTGGGGATATAAAGAAAGGTAAATATGTAATGCCTGCCTTCCATCTTACAGAAGCAAGATATCCCAATTTATAAAATATTTTTTTAAAAGCCCAAATTGAACATGATGTTATTTACCGCTTGCTTTAGAATCTAGAGACTTATTCGAGAGTTTAAGTGGTAAGATTCAGGCCTTGAATAAACACTGGCACTTGGTTCTTTGTATGATGTCATGATCTCCTGTACAGAGGACAGTTCCTCAGATGTCTAACCAAGTCCACAGAGAGCAGATTCCTCTGGCAGCCTTGAGGTGAGTCAACCTCTCTTTTCCCTCATTTCCCTCTTTTTCTCTTTTATGTCATCAACCAGTTACAGTGCTCTAAGATTCTAAAGCATGGATATGGAAACAGAAGCAACATAACTTTGCTTGCCAACCAATCACCACCATAGAGTCTCTGAAATGTGAGGAAACATCTCTAGTACCCTTCAGAGATGGGGCCTTTCCTGTATA